GAAAAAAAAAAAAAAGAAAAAGAACTATCTTCAGTGAGTTCTGGTGTGAATTAAGTGAGCATGGGAGGATTGTGGGCTCTGCCATCATGTGGCTGCAGCTGGGTCTTTTTTTTTTTTCAATTTTTTTATGTTGCCCAGGTTGAACTTAAAACCCTTGGGCTCAAGAAATCCTCCCACCTCAGCCTCCCAAGTAGCTGAGACTACAGGCATGTGCCATCACACCTGGCTTTTGCTGCTTGTTTTTTTTTTTTTAAGTTGGAGTCTTACTCTGTCACCCAGGCTGAAGTGCAGTGGCACTCTCATGGCCACCCAGCCTTGGCCAACTGATCCTTTTGCCTCAACCTTCCAAATAGCTGGAACTACAGGCATGTGCCACTACACCCAGCTAATTTTTTTTTTTTTTTTTTTGAGTTGGAGTCTCACTCTGTCACCCAGACTGGAGTGCAGTGGTTGCTCCCGGCCACCACAGCCTCGACCTGCTGGGCTCCGGCAATCCTTCCGCCTCAGCCTTCCAAGCACCTGGAACTACAGGTGTGTGCTACCACGCTCGGCTCATTTTTGATTTATTGTAGAGATGAGGTCTTGCCAAGTTGCCCAGGCAGGTCTTGAACCTGTGGGCTCAGGCAATCCACTCACCTCAGTCTCCCAAAGGTGCAGGATTACAGGCTGAGCCACCGAGCCCGGCTGCTAATTTTTTGATTTATTGTAGAGACAAGGTCTCGCCAAGTTGCCCAGGCTGGTCTCAAATTCCTGGACTCAGGCAATTCTCCCGCCTTGGCCTCCCAAAGTACTGGGATCATAGGCTTGAGCCACTGCGCCCAGCTGCTACTTGTTTTTAATGTCAGATTGGCCAGTTTGGTGCTCTGAGGCTTGGTTACCAATGAGAAGATTTGGCGTGGGCCTAGGGCACTCTCATTATCTCCCTCTTACCAGGGCACTTTGGAGTTGTCTACCATGGAGAATACACAGACCAGGCCCAGAATCGAATCCATTGTGCCATCAAGTCACTAAGCCGTAAGTGGGGCAGAGGCTGGGAGGGCAGGGGGAAGGTTGGGAGGGTTCTAGCTCCTGCTGTGCTTCTACCTTATTGAGTGACCCTGAGCAGGAGACCTTTATTTCCCATTTCCCCAACTGACCCTCCCTGCCCTGGGCCTGACTCAAGCTGCTCTACAGGCATCACAGAGGTGCAAGAGGTGGAGGCCTTCCTGCGAGAGGGACTGCTCATGCGTGACCTGCACCACCCAAATGTACTGGCTCTCATTGGTATCATGTTGCCACCTGAGGGGCTGCCCCGTGTGCTGCTGCCCTATATGTGCCATGGTGACCTGCTCCAGTTCATCCGCACACCTCAGCGGGTCAGTGCTCAGCTGGCCCTGGATGGGGGGCTTGGGCAACAGCAACTGAAGATGGAGTTGCTCTGCCCTTGACCACCAACTTACTTGTGTCTCCAGAACCCCACTGTGAAGGACCTCATCAGCTTTGGCCTGCAGGTAGCCCATGGCATGGAGTACCTGGCAGAGCAGAAGTTTGTACACAGGGACTTGGCTGCACGGAACTGCATGTGAGAGGCCAGAGTAGCTGGAGTGAAGCAAGGGTGTGGGGCATGAAGGTTTGCAGCTGCCCAGTGCTGCCTCAGGGAAGGGTTTATTCTAACCTTTGTAGCCCTGGGTATGTCCTCCCCTCTCTGGGCATCAGCTTTTCTATCTGCCCAGTGCAGGCTTGGACCAGACACTATGTCTCTGAAATTCTGTGAGAACCTGGAACAGGTGAGTTCAGGGCCCAGTAGAGGCCGATCCTAGGTGTGATTTCCCTCCCTCCCAGGCTGGATGAGTCATTCACAGTCAAGGTGGCTGACTTTGGTCTGGCCCGTGACATCCTGGACAAAGAGTACTATAGTGTTCGACAGCACCACCATGCTCGCCTACCTGTCAAGTGGATGGCACTGGAGAGCCTGCAGACCTATAGATTTACCACCAAGTCTGATGTGGTGAGGCCCCACCTGTCCTGCAATCCACATGGCCTCAGTGCCCCGGAGCACTGGGTATTGCCCTTTCTCTGGGTGACCTGAGCCCAGGGAATCCCCAACTGGGCAACCCCACAGCCCATTTGCCCACTTCTTGGGCAGCTGTAAGATGGAATCTGATATCTCCCAAGGCAAGCAGAGGCTGTGAACTCATTGACTCCTCATATATGATCCAGGGCCTGCCCAGCCCCAACTCTAGGCGGGCTGAGGTAGTGGGAAGAGACAGAGGGAAGACACAAGTAAGGTATTGAGGAATAATCTCTCATTGGAGGATGGATCCCCTATTTCCAGCTTAAGGACTCTGGGAGGTAGAGCCCCCGGGAGGCCTACCTGCCCCCAAATTTGGAGTGAGAATTGAGTGCCTTCATCTCCCTCTTCCCACAGTGGTCGTTCGGTGTGCTGCTGTGGGAACTCCTGACACGGGGTGCTCCACCATACCCCCACATTGATCCTTTTGACCTCACTCACTTCTTGGCCCAGGGTCGGCGCCTGCCCCAGCCTGAGTATTGCCCCAATTCTCTGTGAGTATGTGGAGGTGGTGACGGGGAGGGAGCTGGGCCCTAGAGACAAGGAAGGGGCAGTTCCCACCTGACTGACCTGCTTGATAGGGAAGGGATTCTTTCTGGGCCTCAGTTTCCTCATCTGTGGACTGGTCCTACCCCCATACAGGGCAGGCCTCACAATTGCTATGGTAACAGCATTCTGAATTCAGTGTCTGTGTTGAAGCCTGTGATTTGATTTCCCAGCACTCTTCTCCCCCACTCCCACTAAGAAGGGCTGTTTCCCACCTTTTCTACTCATTTAACCTCAAGGAAAGATTCCATTAGTTACTACAGCAGCCCCCTCTATATCTCCAGATTAGGTTTTTTCCCCACTGGATGTAATTTCGGATTCCCCATTCCTGGAGGGATGGCAGCAGCTATATTGTCCTCAGTGTGTGTAGGGTGGGTTTGGTGCTGAGGTTCAGCTTCATTAGCAGTAGGTATGCCTCAGCTGCGTCCAGGCCTGTGTGGTTAGAACAGAAAGAACCAGGTCACAGGTAAAAGTAGTTGATGATTCCTATCTCAGACTGCTTCAGAGAGGATATGCGTAGCCTTTCCTCACAGCCCTACCTGCCTTGGGCTTCACCTTTATTACTTCACTAACCCATTGCCAACTTGCATCCAGGCTAGGCTCCCCAAAGCAGACTCTGATACAGATTTATGTACAAGGGGTTTATTGGTAGGTGGGGGGCAGGAGAAACAGGAATAGGTAGAGAGAGAAGTTGGACTTTGATGCAGATGCAACAGAGGCTGCAGCCCATCCCACAGAAACTGCTTGAGCTAAAGTGACCCTCCAGAGTTTTTTGAAATTGAGACCAAGGGGCCAGGTCTTTGTACCAGGCATTAATCAGTTACAGTCACAGGCTATGCCTGGTGAGAGGGTATGAGCTTGGCAGAGACAGCTCTCTTCTGTCTAGGACAATTCCTACAGAAGGCCTAAACCAAAAGCCATCAGCAGACAACACTCCCAGCCACAGGGAGAATGAAGGGTGATCTGGGTGGCACACCACAGCATTCACTTCACCAGGGCTAGTCCCTTCTCCTCTCTGGGCCTCAGCTTCCTCATCTGTAAGTAGGGATAATAACAGTACCACTCTCAGAGAATCTGACAGTTATATGAGATACAATGTGTACAGTACTTAGAGGCACTTAAGGCAGAAATGACATCCCTAAGATAATGGGGCATGCACTGGAACCCAGCTTGGGAACCAGGTTGCCACTGGTTCTGCCTCAAATACTCCTGCTTCAAGATCTTTAATCCACATTTCACTGTACCCAGGCTTCCTTCCTGGGAGACCTGTGATGATATCCATGATAGCTTGCAAGCTGGGCCACATGCTGAGCACTCCACAGGCATCCTCTCACCCTATGCCCCTACTGCTTTATGATCAGAGGAAGACCCAAATGCACAGAGAGATTAAGGAACTTTCCCAAGTTCACATTGCCCAGAGCACAGGAGCAAAAGCTCTTAACCCCTGAGGTAGTTCGACTTCTGCCAGGGTGGCGAAGTGAGGACTGGAACAGCAATCATAAGGATGAGAAGAGCTGCCCCTGATTGGGCAATGCTGGGCACTAGGCTCTATCACTTGTCCTCGTCCCTATGTGCCTGCCAGAGGTGGATGGCCCAGAATCCCTGAGTAGAGGTATGCCCTGCCCCTGACATCTTCCTCTCCCCCCTACCTCCTGCAGGTATCATGTGATGCAGCGATGCTGGAAGGCAGACCCAGCAGCACGACCCACCTTTGGAGCACTAGTAGGGGAAGTGGAGCGGATAGTGTCTACACTACTTGGGGACCATTATGTGCAGCTGCCTGGAACCTACGTGAACCTAGGTCCTGGCGCCTCAGATGAGGTGAACAAACTCCCAGAACAGCCACAGTCCTCACCCATGTGCAGTAGCACATGGCGGCCTCGGCCTCTCTCAGAGCCGCCTCGACCCACTTGACCTAATCCCTTGGCTGGACTTGCTTAGCGGCCTTGAACTAACCCCAAGCTGCCCCTGGGCCATGCTGGACTGGAGAGCACTGGGCTTCCATCTTGTCCCTGCCCTTCAGCCTTCAGAGGCGATAGGTATGCAGGGCACATTAGGTCCCTCACTCCAGAGTGAGCGAGTGAGAGCACTTCTGCAACATGTATTTATGAAGTACCTATTGTGTACCCTACCTGCTGGGCACAGTGGACTCATCAGTGACCACACACTGACCATGAACCAGTAAAGGAACAAATGAATGTCAAGTACAACTTGTGGTAAATGACATGAAAGAATGATAGGAAGCTTTTTGAGGAAATAGAGAACTGCTTTTGATAGAGAGGTGAATAGAAAGGTGGGGGATGCCTCCCAGGAGGTGACATTTTGCTGAGGCCCTATCAGATGGGGAAAAACCATCAGAAGCAGAGTTGGAGGAAGAGAGTTTTTGGCAAACAGCAGCAGGTACAGAGGACCTGAGGCTAGAAAGGGACTGAATCTCCAGAGAACAGATGGGTAGGCAAGAACCAGATCCAGGTTACAGTGGTCTGGGGACTATTGGAAAGAACCAGAGTGGTGGGTTGGGTACCTAAGCATACTGCAGCCAGGATAGTTTCTCTCACGGCCCAGGCCACCTCTCCCTCTTCCCCCAGCCGTGGGACTTCTCTGGGGTCCCCTGCTCCATCTGCAGCATCCCCACTCCCGCACACACCATCAGGGGCATGGAGACTTGGGTCCCTGCAACACTGCCAGCATTGCACTTGCACTTGAGATGAGCCAGCATCAAGGAAGGCCTCAGCTCCACACTTTCTTTTTTTTTTTTTTTTTTTTTTTGAGTTGGAGTCTCACACTGTTGCCCAGACTGGAGTCCAGTGACCACTCCCGACCACCGCAGCCTTGACCTGCTGGGCTCCGGCAATCTTTCCGCCTCAGCCTTCCAAGTAGCTGGAACTACAGGCGTGCGCTACCACACCCGGCCAATTTTTGGTTTGTTGTAGAAATGAGGTCTCGTCAAGTTGCCCAGGCGGGTCTTGAACCCGCAGGCTCAGGCAATCCACTCACCTCAGCCTCCCAAAGGCGCGGGATTACAGGCTGAGCCACCGAGCCCGGCTAGCTCCACACTTTCAAAGAGCCAACTTTTTTTTTTTTTTTTTTTTAGTTGGTGTCTCACTCCTTCCTCCAGGCTAGAATGCGGTAGCATGCTTATGCTACCAGTCTCTACCTGCTGGGCTCAGGTAATCCTTCCACTTTAGCCTTCCAAGTAGCTGGAACTACAGGCACTAATTATGCCTGGCTAATTTTTCTTAATTTATTGTAGAGTTGTCTCGCTAAGTTGCCCAAGCTGGTCTCAAACTTGTGGGCTCAGGCAGTCCTCTCACCTCAGCCTCCCAATGTGCTGGGATATAGGCGTGAGCCACCGCACCCGGCCAAGGAGCCAACTTTGAAGAGCCAACTGCTCAGGCTATTTATACTCATCAAGACTACTGCATAATAACCCCTAAAGTGCATACTCTCTGGAAAGGAAGAAGTTTCCCCCTTCTACTCATCCCCTCTGCTGACTGCTGGGCCATGTGGGTGCAGGTAGCTGGGGCACCAGAGTGCCTGGGTCAGGACATGGATCATAGTGTTCCTTCTTCCTCACTCAAGACCCTCGTGGCCTCCATCTTTCCAGTTGGGACACCCCAGCTTACCCTAAGAGGGAAGGCTTTCTCCCCTCTGAATCCCTAGATCTGCCCAGTCATACATGGAAATCTTTCTGTTAATCAGTGAGAGTCTCCTTGGACCCAAAGCTTCCCACCTGTTCTCTACCCAGACTGCCACTCACTCTGTCACCTCAGGCCAGAGAGAGATCCAGTCCTGGAGGCCCCAAAATCCTTGAGGACAACTGGGTGAGGCTTAAAAGGACAACTGGGTGAGGCTTAAAAGGACAACTGGGTGAGGCTTTTGCTCAAGTGCAGAGGTCCAAAAATCAGGAACCTATAAGCTGAAGTGAGGCAGTGAAGTGGTTGTAGTCTCACATCCTCAGTCCCTGACCTCTTGTCTCTCTGTGTGTGCAGGAGACAGCTGTGTTACCCTGGAGGCTGGGAGAGGTGAGAGGAGTATCCTGGGGTGCCTCCCCAGTTGTGGTTCCCATACCCATTGGAAAGGACAGCTTCAATCCCTCCAATTTGCAGTCCTCATCCCTTAACCCTATCTTGGGGATCTAAGGGTCACCCAAAGCTCCAAGCTGCAGCTCCTTCCCCACTGACTTGGCTTACCTGTTCATAAGAGTGGACTCATAGAGAAAGGGGGTCTCTGGACAGGAGGGAAGCTTAGCATGGATAGGGGTCCCAGAGAAGGGAGGTGGGAGAGCAAGAGGGAAAGAGTCAGTGTGTGCCAGGTTTCCTGTGCAGCCAGAATGGTGCTCTGGGCGTGTTTCTGGGCCAAGGGCCTCCAGGGCCAGAATTCTCCAGGTGAACCTGGAACCCTAGTCAAGCAGGTGCTTGCTGCCCCATCCCCAACTTCTACAGCCTCCAAGCTCTGTGCTCCACTCTCAGAACCACTTGAGAGTCCCAAACCCATCTGGAATATCAGGAGCTGGAACCGTTTGAGAGCTTTAAATTGGTGACTGGGCTACCAGGGAGGGTGGGAAGGGCACTTCTAGGTTCCTGGGTGGGCTGGGGGACCAGGAGGTTCCTGGGTGACCTTTAGAACTGGTGAAGGCTGTATTACCTCTCCCCAGGGGAGGTCTGAGTTCAGATACAGTGGTGGTCAGTACAAGGGAAGGATTGCTAGTGGCCATGGCGGGGCTGGGCCTGCCACCAGGGTAGAATAGGGTGAAAAGAAGTTTCTCCCAGCACTTTGGGAAACTAGTCTTTCCACCAAGAGCTGTGAAGAACAGATATCAACTTCTCTGTCTCATTTCCTTCCATCTTAGCCCAGTGGGGTTAGGGGAAAGCACATGCCAATAAAGGCTGAGGGAAGGCCAGGGTGGGAGCTGGGGCTGAGGAAGCAGCAGATGACTTACACCCTTCTGACTTCATATTGGTGTCACTGTCACCTGGCCCTGGAGGGCATACATGGGATAGACTGACCTGCTCTGAAAGGATACCATGAGTCTGGCATGAGAGTCCCCTTATACCTCAGCCCTAGCCTTTCAGAGAATTTTCCCAGGGACCCAAAGGCTCTCTGGGGGTCACACTTGAGGGTTCCAGATGCAGACTCATTTCAGAACCAGTCTCATTGTTGATCCATAGGAGCTATTGGGCCAGGCTCATGGGTTCCTGCTTTGAGCTCAGGTGTAGGAGCTGAGAGAAATTGATGACTCCTTGTTGGAGCTCAGCATGGGCAGAGATAGAGTACCAGAGGCTCCAGTGCTGGGGCATCCTCACCGCTCTCCTCTGTTCCCTTTCAGGTTGGGTTAGCTACTTGTACACTCTTGTGGCCAGTCTTGGACTGGGCATTTGGGATCTGGAAATGTATCAGGGAATGCGGGGATTTTAAGCAGCTGGTGGCCAAGATCATGGGATTCAATCAGCTTTGAAGCTAGTGCTCTGTTCTTCATTCCACAAGTTCCTCCTGGGATGTTGTACCGTGGACCATGAAGCATCAAGAGGCACCAAAGGAATTGGCTTTACCCCTTTAGGCTCCATGGCATCATGCTTTGTCAAGGAGTGACAGTAGCGACAGCTTTAGCCAAGTATCAGTTTTCCTGATATATCCATCTAAGCCAGGGAAGTCCCGCCCTGGTCTCTTTGATCCAGTCATCTGTTCTTAGAGTCATTCCCATCCTACATTGAGTGAGAGTGGGTTCTGTAGAGACCCTGAAGAAGGGCAGCTCTTCTCACATTCCCTCTCCTGGTGTGGTTGGGAGTCTCTTCTCGGCAGTCATGAAGTCATGTGTGTTTCTGGCAGCACCTCCCTTGCCCCCACTGATGCTGGCTTCTAGATGGTGGACTGTTTCCATGGAGTGTAAGGAGCTCTCAGCCCCTAAGCCAGCTGTGGGCAGCAGTCGGCGGCTGTGCTGTTGCGCTTCCTCCAGGCTGGTGCGGCTGGCCATCTTTCGTGCAGAGTTACGTAAGCTTGAGTCAATTGGGGCTCAGAGCGTTCATTGTGGGCTATTTTTAAGCTGCAACACATCACAGCAGAGGGGTCACTGCACTGCCAGCTTGCAGGGAAGGTTGTTTAAACATCTGTTATTTAAATTTTTTTGTGCCTTGGAGCTCAGAAGCCACATCCTCCGGCACTAGTGGGTTCTGCCTTCCACATTTCAGATTAGAAGTGGTTTATCTCCCCTTACCCTGTCTGAGGTTCCCTTAGGGCAGGGGTCCTCTGTCCCTGTCTTCCTCTGGGGTTAGGCGGGGGGGGGGTGCAGGGAGCAGGAGGTGCTAGATCCTTTTATTTTTAAAATATATATATGTATTTATTTATTTCTTTTTTTTTTTTTTAGAGACAAGATCTCTCTCTGATGCCCAGGCTGGAGTGCACTGGCAGGCTCATAGCTCACTGCAGCCTTGAATTCCTAACTCAAGCAATCCTTCCCTCTCCCTGCTCTTTTAAAACATGATCCTGCCTCCATGGAATGGGTGTATTCTGGCCAGGAGAAACTCAGGGAAGCAGGTGGTCTAAGGCTGCAGGCCATTTGGATAGTTTCAAGGAGGAGGAGGGTCAGCAGAGGAAGGCACAGAGTGCTGGGAGACCTAGAGTACATCCCTTCTTCCTTGGGAGCCTCAGTTTCTCATCAGCACCAAGAGAGGATTGTATTACAAGATCCTTTTGGGTCTTTTCAGAAGCCTGCCTTTGCCTGGGCCATGCTTCTAGCTAAGAATGCCCTCCTTTCCCGGATCTAAATGTTTCCAATTTGTAGCCTCTGGGGCAGAAGGGCTGGTGTACGTGTCCCTGGACAGTACCTAGGGATGAACCTCTGGGGTAACAGACCTTGCTTCTCACTCCATTATCAAGTGGATGACTGCACCATAGGGGCCCTTTAAAGGCTCCTCCTGATCCTAAATTTTTGGAGCTGTCCAGAACCTTCACAGGGCACAGAGAGGGCAAGGCAGGTAGACTGGAAGGGTGCAGGACCAGGGACTTGACAAAGCTAGTTGCCTCCTGAGAACACAAGGGAGCCGAAAATAGGATTGTGTTGAAGCAGGTGTGGGAGACTTGGCCAGCCATAGAGCTCCTGGTAGAGTGTAGCTTTTATGCCTCTTGCCTTGATGCCCTTCTTGCCATCTCTCCACCATCCTTAAGGCCTCCTAGGTAGGAGGGCTCCAGTCTGATCCACAAGAGA